TACTTCCCATTGCATTTAGAATAAAATTCTGGGCCCAGCCTTTCGTTCAGTGGCAGAGCATTTGCTTAATGTGCTAAAGACCCTGGCTTTAATCCTAGCACTGCCAAAAAAGAAAAAAAATATATAAGTTCCTCACCAAGGTTTTATGTCCATTCGTCCATCCACTTAGGACTGATTACACTTCTCTCTGCCAGTCACTGCTTCAGAGGTCAGGGATACAGAGGAGACCAAAACAAAGATTCCATCCCTCATAGGCTGAAATGCTTGGGGAAGAAACAGGCAAGGTACAGGTTAGAAATGGAATGGGGGTAGGGATGTAGCTCAGTGGCACCGCGCCTGCCAGGCAAATAAGTGTAAGACCCTGAGTTCAATTCCCAGTACCCCCTCAGAAAAAAGTCATGTTAAATGGTAAGTACTATGCGTGAAGGTACAGGCACCCACCCGCTTTCTTTTGTAGTACTGAGGGAGGGTTCAACCCTTGGCCTTGTACATACTAGGCAGGCTCTACCACTCTACACCCCTAGCCCCAGGATCCTATTGTAGTCTCCCCCCACCACTTTGTATTCTAGTTCCTGTTAACTGCAAAAGACAGGGTGTCCTTTTGTATAGGGATTGAATTTAGAATCTTTTCACTGAGTTATGTAACCAGCCTGTCTTTTTGTTTACTTCTTCCAAGTCAGTGTTTTGCTAAATTGCCCACACTTGGCTCAAACTCAGGATTTTCCTGCCTCAGCCTCTCAGAGTGCTGGGATTACAGGCATGTGCTACCAACAAAATACTGGGTTTCAGTGTACAGTCTGATCCTTTCCACTCATTGCTCTTCACACTCCCTGCCCTCTCCCCCTTATTCCCTTCCTTTTCTCTAATAATCAGCTATGTCATCTTTCTTAGATTCCATTAGGGAGAATACACACTCTGTCTTTCTGAGTCTGCCTTGTTTTGTCCAACATGATCTGTCAGCAAGGTGTTTCGCATGAGGTAGTCAGGGAAGATCTCATAAAGTAGGTGATATTTCTGTTCAGACCTGCAGGAGAGAAGGCCATGAGCCATGGAAATCCAGAATCTGGGTGTGGAAGGGATAAAAAGCTATCATCAAACCTGTAATACTTGTAATCCCAGCACTCTGAGAGGCTGAGGCAGGAAGATGGAAAAGTTGCCAGCCTGGGCAATTTAGTGAAATCCTATGTCAAAACATTAGGGCCGGGGATTTAGTTCAGTGGTTCCACAGCCTGCCTTGCAAGCACAAGGACCTGCATTCGATCCCTGGTACCAATAAAGTAAAATAATAATTTAAAAGGCTGGAGATGTAAATGCACAGTCCCTGGGTCCAATTCCCATTACCAGGTGTCAACAAGTGTCCCCAAGTACAAAGGCTCTGAGGGTGAGTGTAGCATCGGGTATGTTGGAGGAGCAGCAAGGCAAGGGAGCTAGGGGGAGGTGGGAGGTGAGCCTGAGGGAAACGGGGGCCCGCATGTAGAATACCTCTGGGGTCTGGCTGAGGCCCCAGGACTTCGCACTGTTTCAAAATTTGGGCAAGAGCCTGGCATGGTGGCAGAGAGAGCCCGGAGAGGGACACTGCCAGTTCAAATGAGCCCACTTGCCATCTTAGAGAAACATAGGTTTCATTTTTTACTTAGGTCCCAAGCAGTCCCAGAAGCCATTTCTTCAACCCATTCCCTTGAAAGTCTGCCAAAAACCACTATTTTAAAAAGCCTTGAAGCCAGGCATGGTGGTGCACGCCTGTAATCCCAGCACTTGGGAGGCTGAGGCAGGAGGATCGCTGTGAGTTCAAGACCAGCCTGGGCTACATAGTGAGTTACAGGTAAATCTCAACTACATAGTGAGACTCTGTCTCAAAAAAAAAAAATAAAATTTAAAAAGGCTTGAGACCAGGAATATAGCTCAGTGGCCCCTCACCTGCCTGGCAGGCACAAGGTTCTGAGTTCAATTCCTAATACCAGAAAAAAAAAGTTAAAAAGCCTCTTAACCTGTAAAAATCACCTCTGTTCTGCTTGCAGAGTGGTCCCTTTCAGGTTTAGCAATAAACCCGCTTGGCCAAGTGTGATGGCACACACCTGTAATCCCAACACTTAGGAGGCTGAGACAGGAGGTTCACCTGGAGTTTGAAGTGAGCCTGGGCTACATGGCAAGTTCAAGGTTGGCCTGCACTGCATAGTAAGTCTCAAAATCCAAAATAAGCTGGGCATGGTGATGCACACCTGTAATCCCAGCCCTTGGGAGGCTGAGGCAGGAGGATCACTGTGAGTTTGAGACCAGCCTGGGCTATACAGTGAGTTTCAGGTCAGTCTCAACTACACAGTGAGACCCAGTCTCAAAAAACAAAAAAACAGAAAAACCCCACCAAAATCAAGGGCTGGGGATTTAGCTCAGTGGTGCTGTTGCCTACCTTGAAAGTGCAAGCTTTTGAGTTCAGTCCCTGGTACCAAAAAATAAAATAAAATAAATGTGCTTGGACTGTTGAGTTCTCATCCTTTCCTTCCCACTCAGCGGCACACATCTATAATCACAGGTTCACAAGAAGCTGAGGCAGGGGCTGGGGATTTAGCTCAGTGGTTTGGCTGCCTGCCTCTTAAACGCAAAGATCCCAGTTTGATCCCCAGTACCCACCCCAAAAAAAGCTGAGGCAGAAGGATTACAAGTTCTACCTGGATAACTTTGTGACTTAGCAAGATCCTACCTCAAAATTTAAAAACTAAGAGCAGGGGGTGTAGTTTAAGGAAAAGGTCCTGTGGTCCTGTGCTCAACCCCAGTAGTCAAAAAAAAAAAAAAAAAAAAAAAAAAAAAAAAAAAAAAAAAAAAAAAAAAAAGGCAAGCACAGTGACACAGACCTGTAATACCATGTAATCCCATTGCTTGGGAGGCTGAGGGAGGAGGATCTCTGTGAGTGTGAGTTGGAGGCCAGCCTGGGCTATGTAGCAAGATCTTGTCTCAAAAAAACCTAAAAAATTTTTTTAAATCCCCAAACAGGCAAAAAAATGCTGGGCAGGGACAAGCCAGGGCAAGCTCTCCTCCACACTTTCCTCCTTTTGTTGACTCTGTCATTCTCACGAGTGTGGAGCCTCAGGAAGCCTCTGAACCAAGCGAGAAGGATGTGATTTGACTCAGGTGTTCACGGTCTCCATCTTGGCTTCTCTTGAAAAAAAAGAGTGTGGGAATGAAGAGAGGGGAGGCTGCTGTAGAGTCCGGGGCAAGATGGTGAAGGTGCACAGAACCAGGTAGGGCAGAGGGCGGGTGCAGGAGGAAGTGGGTGGGTTCTGCATACACACAGTGGAGACGGAACGACAGAATTTCCTGACACACAGGATGCAGGCTGTAAAGACGGAGAAATAAAAGATGACTCCAAGTTTTTTCTGAGCAGCCGGAGGATGGAGGGGCCTGGATTGAGACCTGCATGACTGTTGGATGATCTGGGTTAGGGGGAAAATCAGGAGTTCAGCTTCGAATCAATCTTTCTTTTTTTGAGATAAGGTCTCCATGTAGCCCAGGCTGGCCTTGTACTCACAGCTATCCTTCTACCTCAGCCTCCCATGTGCTAGGATTACAGACGTGCACTACCACACCTGGTCAGCTTTGAGTATTTACCTTTGAGATGCTAATGTAGATTGCTATTTATATCTGTTTGTTTATTTATAGTTGCCCATCCCCACTACAAGGTCACTTGATAACTGACAGGTCCATCACACTCACCACTATATGTCCAATGCCCAAGAGAACAACTTGCACATAGTAAGTGCTCAACAAATGTTTGCTGCATGAATGAAGATAGACATATACCAAAAAATCCTCTAGCTTCAAAGTCAGCCAGTACCTGTCCCAGTGTAACTCCCATGGCTATTTTTCTCAATCAGCACTGGGGACTGAACTAAAGCCCTCCCTGAGCTACATCCTTGGCCCTTTTTTTTTAATTTTTTGGTACCAGGGATCAAACTGTGGTCCTTGAGCTTGTGAGGCAGTCAGCGGAAACACTGAGCTAAATCCCCTACCTTTTTATTTTTTAAGACAAAGGCTTGCTAAATTGCCCAAGTGGAACCTGAACCTGTGACCCTCTTGCCTGAGCCTCCTAAATGCTAGAATTATTGGTCTGTGCCACCATACCGGGCTCCACTTGCCATTTTGTGAAGCCTACCCAAGCTGAACACTTTGTTTCAGCTCATGTTCTTTCTCCAGACCCTTATTTTTGTGACACCCTTCACTAGAAGATAGTTTCAGAGGTCAGAGATTTTCAGTCTTTCTTTCTTTCTCTTTTTTTTTTGGTATCGAATTCGGGACCTTGTGCTTGCGAGGCAGGCGGCAGCACCACTGAGCTAAATCCCCGGCCCTGTCTTTATTGACAATACAAAAAACATGGTCTAACACACAATGGGCTTCCAATAAGTATTTGTTGCCTTTGCCAGCCGTGGTAGCATATGCTGGGCGGCTGAGCAGAATGACAGCAAGTTTGAGCCCAGCCTAGGCAATTTAGCAATTTAGAGAGATCCTGTCTTAAAGAAAAGGAAAGGAAAAAAGAAAAGTGAGAAGTCCCTGGGTTCAATTCCCAGTAAAGCAAAAATAACTACACGAAGATATAAATTATTTGTTGCATCTGAATGCTAAATGAGTGCATTCCACGCCAGAGCCGATTAATTCTCAACGTCCAGAACTGCCTTGTGAATCATTCATGATCTGTCCCCGCCCTCAAGCGAATGACGTGCACCTTCACGCCAGAGAACTGGCCGGGCTCAGCTCGTACCCGAGCTGAAGGAAAGCGCGGAGAGTTGAATGCTGCGCAGGCGCTGAGCTCCCGGGGTGGGGGTGGGGGGCGGTCTCGATTCGTCAGGT